GATTATGAGCAATGAACTATGCTGTAAACATGGTCACATCAGTAAATATTACTGTATAACAACACTGTGTGATTTTATCGAAATAAATTTTAGTCATAATGGGACCTGGCGTTTTACTAGGAAGTTTAGGTAATGTAGATTATATGCACGAATTCCATCGTGACTAACTTAAAATCCATGTCAAGCCTGTGAATAATTTCCGGTCAGTCCTTTTTTTGACACACACTATCCTAATAGTATAGCGAATGCTCCAGTTTGTGTTTAAAAGACCTGTTGCCTTATATTTATTGCTAATATATATTATTACTTTATTTAATTACTTTGCGTTCCTAGTGGGATATAGGGCTTCAAGTTACAGGCTTGAAGTTTCGGTAGCAGTGGTGTTTATTTTTACGGCGTGAGGTGGCTAGCCTCATGCCAAACCCACCACCCCTCTTTACCGGCCTTACTACCTACTTAGTGAGGTTTAGGGGTGCATAGGCAGGAGATCGAACCTTGGATCACGTGAGGCGTGGTTGTCAAACATCCTGCCACTAGACCATCACCACACTTGTTTCATGCTTGTATTAGATCAACTATATTGATAGAATTATGCGCAGATTAACTCTGATCGTTTCCCAGGAACGAAAAGAATGTGCTTTTCAGCTATAGATAGTCAATTCCACTGGTGGAATAAAAACAACACATATATGTAAAGGATAACCTCAGCTTATATAAATAAAATCCTTTCACTATCAAACCATTAAACTTTCCTCAACTACAGTGGTTAGTCATATGATCTATAGATTCATTTGATTATTTGTCAACAGATATAATTTGCCAAGGACTTAGTTGAAGAATGAGCACGCAAAAGTGTGACAGTTATTGCCTTAATGTATATATATATATATATATATATATATTTCCACCTTCCTCATTCATACTTTTTTTTCACACTAACATATAATCATTTCAAATCGATTTAACGGAATGCGGTCTAACTTTCAGCAGTGTTAAATTTATCCTGGATTGGTTGTTTTCACTGCTAACCTTAAGGACTAAAATTTTCGACTGATATTATAAGGATGATAGAACAGCAACATTGAAGTTAGTTTCATTGTCTTGTGTTGGTGGAGCTGAACAGATAGATGCATATTTCATCTCATTTCGTGCAATTCAGCATTATAGTTGTGTAAAGATCGAATCCTTAGAATTCAGATTAATAAGTGTGCGTCGGTCGCACAACCGTGGTTCGATCCCCGGCCACCGAAGCACTCTTTTACCTCGCCAAAAACCAGTAATAAGACTGGTAAAGAGGGAAGATTGGGCATGAGGCTAGCAACTCCATCCCGTAAATACAAACACCACTGCTACTGAAACTTCGAGCCTCTAGCTTGAAGCCCTCCTATGTTCCGCTGGGAACGTAAATAAATAAAAAAGGATAAGTAAGTGAACTGAAACGGTTTTGTAAGCCTCTGACTTGGAACACATATACACCTGGATCCTGTTTGCGTCAGCGAAAGCTTATTTAATAAAAGGCCCCTAGGTACAGAGTCAAAAGCAGATGTGTAGTCTAGGAAAGCACCACGAACATATTTGGCACCTTTGTCTAAACAAGAAACAACATTATGATATAAGACAACCGCAGCATCCAAGGTACTTCTACCAGGTTTATATGCAAATTGTTTAGGATCATTAAAAGGTTTCAATGAAGGTTCAAGACGGAGTAAAAGTAATTTTTCCATCAATTTTAAAAAAGAAGTAATTGCAATAGGCCTAAATTTAACGTCAGTACTAGAAGATTGTTTTGGTGTGGGGATAATTTTAATGTTTTTCCATGCAAAAGGTAGAACATTACTGGAAAAGGAAGCATTAAAAATGTTAGCAAGAGGGTAACACAAAATATTGGCACAGTTCCTGAGGACAATGGCAGTTACTCCTCAAGCCAGCTAATGAGCGTGCAGTTTAATCGTAATGCAGAATTGTCATAGTGCAACAGTGATTGACATTCTATATTCCAGTGGTATGCTGGAATTGTAGATGATGTCAGTGGAAACAAAACGTATTTAATCACTTGTATCTCACACCTTTCTTACTGCTAATACAAAATTCTAAAAGTGTGGAAATAAAACAGGATAATCTCACAGCTGTATTTTCACCACTCAATACAGTCGATTATTCTAAATACACACACAACGGAATGTAAGTGTTCTGTTAGGTCAGTCCTGTAAACAACCGGTGTGATAAAAGTATTCATTTAGGTGAGAAGAAAAAGGCGTAAACAACGAAGAAAATTTTCTTTTCGACGATTGATTTTCATGAGCTGTACAGTAATCGTAATTATATGAAACAAAAAGAAATCTTTAGACCAATCAGATACTTGCAAAAAGCTTTGTCCTAGAAAAATGCATTACACAATGTAAGGTGTTAGAAGTACTTCACTCGAGAGAAAATATTTATTTGACTGGATAAAAACATTTTCATGGGAGAAGACCTGATCGACAGGCTGATCTGGTAACTTGATGGGGGTCATGTCTGTGCACTGGTGAAGAACCTCAAGCTAGAAGGAAGCAACTGTCTAATGATCTCTGGCTTTCAATAATTCTCTAACTGGTGTAGGCTTGTGACGAAATCTACGCTGTGTGCTGGTGGCACAGTGGTTAGGATGCTCGCCGACCATGCACATGGTCCGAGGTTCGATCCCCTGCCGATGCACACCCGATATCTATGGTTAGCCTGCAAAATTTGGGCTACCGGTATCACATGCCGAAAATTCCATACTTGTACCAAAAATACTGTGTGGTTTCAAGCTAAAACCGAAAAAAGTTCAAATCTGTAAGTTGAGGAATCCTGTAATAGTGAGGTTCGAATGTGCTATTTGTTATGGGTCTTTGACATATGCAGTGGATTATTATTCCTGTATCGTTAATTACAGATGGTGCTGTATAACAGTACTCCTTCAAGTTTATTGTGTTATCTGTAAAAAATAAACACCTACCTCCTGATAGAATAATAATAATAATTTACTTTATTCCAAAAACAGTACTAATGATACAGCAAGGAATTTTCAGCATTCAGTACAATATTGCATCTAATTTACTCAAAAACGACAACAACAAAAAATAAATAAACGAAATAATCATTACATAATAATGATAACAAAACGTTTTTATAGCAGCTATTTAGCAAATTACTGTAAGCAGTACGGAGAAAAATACGCATAAAGTATAAAATTATAGTAATAATAGTAATAACAACTAAAATAAAAATAGCAAAGTTATAATTAAACGATAGAAAGGGTGACACCATAAAATTACAGAAAGATGAACAATGAAAGGGTCGATTCACTATGCTAATTACATAGTAACTTATATGTTTCACGTCTAACAGAGTCTTCATCACATAAAATATGGGCTAAATACGGTATTGTAGAATTTTTGTACTTAGTGGTACGAGCATATAATTTCTTATATTGACTTATCGTTCTACCTGATGAGATACAAGGGGAAAGTTGTGAATAAAGAGGGTGCAGAGGGTCTGACAGTACGGCCTTTGCCCACGTTGTACAGGAATTTACGTGTCTCTCGACTATAGTATTGGCGAGCTCACGCAGTGGCAAACCACAAACCCTACTCACAGCATTTAATACCCTTCGTAATATGACATAGTCTTTTTTAAGAAGCCCAGGAAAGATTAATGGAGAGCAATGGAGTACAATAGGTAAAATACAGGAGTTTAAAAATTGTAGAACTAAAGGTTGGTTGATACCTTGTTGTCTTAACTTTTTAATGTAGAAGGTAAGACGAAACATTCTCTTAGAGATAGATAAGATGTGGGATGACCATGAAAGGTCAGAGGAAAGAACTAATCCGAGGTATTTAATGCTCGAGAAAACACAGAATTAGCGATTCATTTGAAAATTCAGCTCCTGAACCATAAGATAATTATTACATACTTGTATACCTTATCATTTATGAGTTCATCAGATGATTAATAAGAATTTGAAACCATTCGACAATATAAAGCACAATAATCCATGAAATTATTGATACTTGGATGAATGTCTTGATGAGGAACTGAATAATATTAAACGCTTGCTCAGTGAAAACGATTATCCAGAAAACGTTTATTGATTAGAATATGAATCTAAAATCACAGCAGCCCAAGGTACTAAGAGTTCCTAAAAAGGCTTTATTCTTATAAATTCAGTACCTTGGGGACAACATCAGAGAGATACTAACACAGTGCCTTAGAAATGCGGTAAAAAAAAGCATTCCCTGCTGCTGAATTCTGCAATGTCTTCAAAACCACTCCTATTTCGCGTTCGGGAGTAAAAGATAAACTGCCTAATTTCGCCTCTCCCATGTGTATCTACCAATTTAACTGCTGCTGTGGAGTGAGCCAGTTACATAGACCGCGTTTCTCGTCGGATTTCCGAACATCACTCTGCATAGTGGTTAAGTAAAGGACAAACAAAATCTATTCACAGCGCTATTCTATCTCATCTTGTGGATACAGAACACAAGATTGATATAAATGAGGCTTTCAAAGTCATTTTGCCTTAGGAATTCATTTACTGATTATTGCTGAGACCGTTGGGATCCATATTAAGAAGCCTAATTTGTGTGTCCAAAAGAAGGTAGTTCAGAAATTATCTTTACCTTGGCCATCTAGGTTTGAACGATCCTCAGTTTTTGTGGAATTTTCCTAAGTTTAGTTGATATTTTATTTGCTATCATATATTTATTATTATTATGATCTATGCATCTTTAATGAACTGTAATTCCATTGTGATCTTACTTTACAAATCGATATTATTTAAAAAACACTCATGTTGTTATTGACTACTAATCTAGAATATTCTATGTATACAAACATATATTTCTATGCATAATTGTAGAGCGAGAAGAGGAGGGAATTATTCAAAAAGGATATTCTTTGCTGAATTATTTTGTGTTTTATGTATGTCTGAATGAATATTTTTGCTAAATTAATGATTGTTCTTTTCCCTTTTTCTCAAGGTTCATCGAGGCGTTAAAGGCAATGTTTATGGCTATGTTGAAGACACTCTCATCCCAATTAAGGATGCTGTCATTAAGGTGACTAACATAACCGATCCAGCTTATCCGGTTGCGATACTACATAATATACATACAGGTGAGCCCTCCTTGATATACGTACCTACTGTAGACAATCAATCAAGTTTAAATTGTGCGGTTAATAAATTAGTTCGAATGTAAGCTGACTACTTAATTCACGTTGTCAGCATATAAATTTATCGCAGAAAAAATTCTTCTGATACATGCTTAGTAGTACAAAATGTTTCATTCAAATTTCACTTTACTGTCATCTAGTATACTCTTTTATTGTTATACTGAGAATGTGATCTGCCTAATACACAGGAGTCTTTTCCAACAAGTAGGCAACAAGTTTATTGTATGCGTAGTCAAATGATAACTCAGAATCAGAAGACAGAAACGTTGCTGTTTTTTGGATTCATATGATTTTTGATATATCTTTTGTGAATTCATGACGAAGAGTTCAATTTCAATATATATAAACTTATTTGTCATTGGAATTAAATAGTTAGGCGGTCAGATGAGAAAAACATGATGCCACCTAGATGACTGACAAAGGAACTGAAAATTCCCAATATTCCGATAAAAATAAATAAGGAGTGATTTATTCAATTCATACTTGAGTGGTCGTTATAAAATAACATCGCTTACCGTCCCGAACTGGGATGAAACAGCTGTCCAGTACTCCCTGCAGGTTTTCTAATCGTTCTCAAACCGATATCAGCTCATGATAAAATCCCTGTAACAAATCAGTCAAATCCCTACAAACCAATACTTTAAAATCAATGAGATGCTCACTAGCGACTGGTCCTATTCAGGTAGGTAGTTACCTCCTGGGTTCTAGTGGGAAGTCGTGACCAGTAGGTTGCAGCAGGTCGGGTGTGAGGAAAAATGCTCGCCGAAGACATTGGCTAGCGGTTGCGCTATGTCGTGAATTGGCAGAAGTTGGAATTAATGCGCCACTGAATCGGGTCCCAGTGGCTTAATTGTCTACTAGCTAGCTCGCCTTGGAACCAGAATGTCATGGGGTCGAACCCTGGTGGTGGGTGCGTACCGCTGAAGAGTCCCAAAGTAGTCTGACGAAATAGCTGTCCATTACTCCCTTCAGGTTTTCCAATGGCTCATGATGAAATCCTGTAACTAAATGGATGATAATTAATGGAAGAACTGCATCCAGTTGGATTTGGGAACGAGGGTAAAAGTTATTTTTAACGTAAAAGACACACTGCAAACATGACTGACAGACTTCAGTCTGCAGTGAACAAGCAGTGATTTGACATGAGTGTTGGAAATTCACTTTTTGTTCCCTTTGATAATTGACGTAGATCTCCTCGTTGATTTTAGAGTAATAAACATCTGTCTTACTTTCGCGATCCTTGCTGTACTTAAAACAATATGGCTGAAAGACATGATTTCGGTTTCATTTCTCCCATTGATGGTCAGTTATCTTCACCGTTTCTGCCTTCTCTGTGTTTATCTGAAGTTCAGTTTTTGCCACCTGTTCTGTCAACTTGTTAATTTTTTGAGTGTAAATCTTCGAGTTTATGAGACAACAAACATAAATCATCGGCAAAATCCAGATCTTTCGAGGTATTTTTGAAAATCCAGAGTATGTCAGTCTTCCCGTTCCTGACAGTGTCCAGCACAGTCTCCTGGTCTTCACAACAAAGACTTCATTGCGCTTCATTTTGCGAATCACCTAGCACATTGGTGTCATCACCACATATGTATTGTGGCATTGCACTCTGCACTGTTGAAGCGGTTCCCAAATTCCTTCACAGTCAACTCTGTGGAGGGCCTTCATAAATCAATGAAGTTGAGGTAGGCAGTTGATTACGATGCTATGCTTTGTTTGATGCACATGCGTAATACTGTAATCTGACAAGTAAATGATTTGCTCTTCCTGAATGCCAACCGTTCTGGACGTCACTCTAGGATGATGTGGCAGTTGAGTTTCTTTCGCTATCTTTCACTAGCTACATCGCTGAACACCCCACTGATGGTGACTATTACTCGTTCCTTGTGTTTCTGGTGGAATATAGTGCGTCAGGGGCAAATCCTTATTGTATTTCATTGTATACTATCGTCTTCACTGATATGGTTCTCAATATTTCATGCAGTTTTGTGAGGTTTTCCTTACCTACATCCTGTCATGCTTCAGTTGCCCGTTCGACGGAAAAGCGTTTTAGTCTTTTCGAGCTGTCTTCACCCCTGCATACATTGAGCTGTAGATTTAACTCAACTCCGTTTTTCGTTGTTCGTCTTTGTAGCGGTTCATCTTTTTTACTCTCCTCTATGAGCTTACGCATGTCCGTAGACAATCATTCACTATCTTATACAATTTGCTTACCTAACAGTCCTACTTCCACAACACTTTCAGAGGGTTCTAATCTTATTCCAGGTAGGTTTTATTGGTGATGTTACACATTGTCCGCAACTTACCCTGACGACTATATTGAAGGTATTCCTGTTAGTTTCGGCCTGAAATTTCTGGGCACTGGACATTGATTATGACCTGGCTTCAGCTCCTTTGAAGGTTTTCCACTGATTCTTGAAGATTTCTTGCACTGGATGTAGATCTTAGCCAGGATTGTCTGCTTTCCTTAATTTTGAATCTAGTAGACAGCTTCGGATGGAATCTATGTGGTTTTCGGTACGTTAGCTCGGTGAAATACATGTCGCCTTGAAGATATCCTTGTGTTTGTACACACTGCCTCCAAATAGCAAACGCTCAGAGGTCTGCAAAGATTTCTCTATGATTATTCATTTCACCGAATGAGAACGCCTCTGGATCCGTGACGAGTTCTCTTCCTGTTTTGTCTACACTGAGCCTGTCATTCATATCACCTATTAGAATTTTGATATCGCCATCTGGCTGGGATCTCGTCAATTACTACTTGCATTTATCTGAAGAAGTCACATCATGATGGCCACACACTCGATGTGTCTTTGATTGCTTCTAGGTGATCAGAGTACGTTATTTAATCTTCAATACCGGTTTGGACAGTCCACTTCTATTTCATCTACTCTGACAGATCTTTATTACTTTTGCTTTGATCGAATGAAAACATCAACCAACTATCTTCTCAAAAGCTTTCACCCACCACCAGAGTCATCTGTCAAAAAACTAAGATGTCCAACTATTACACTACAGCTGAAGTTCATTATAATTCACGTAGGACATAGTGAAACAATACTAACTACTTAATATTTTGAACACACTGCCATCTGCAGTCGTATACTTAACTTGTTACTTATTGACTGTCAAACCTATATACTTTTACGCAAGCCACTGGGGAAACTATTAAACTGTATTTTTACTACATCACCACATAAAAGGACAAAGTACTTAAAATTGGATTAATTTGAAATAAGTAAGTAACTTTAGGGACAGAATGACTGATAATTAACATTCTATGCAACAGCAACTGTGCAGACTTCAGTCAATACTCTATCACACCAAAGTTAATCTGCCTAACTGAGGCTATTTCATTCCATATAAGTTGTTTATTAGATGTATCACACAGTCAAACATTATTATTGACTGGATGACGTTTTCAACAAAAGCATCCTATGGAACCTTTAAAACAAAACAATTTAGTTTATCTAATACCCTGCTGGAATGATTGTCACGTCAATTACATAGGTCGAAGTAGTAGAACATGGGCAGTCAGACTAGCTGAGCATAAAAACCTAGCAAAATCTAGATTAGTTGACCCGAATAAGATATGAAATCTAGAGAACAGTTCAGCTATACCACTCACTACATACAATTGTACACAACCATACAATAGGATGGGATAGAATAACCGTTTTAAAATCTAACGTCACAGGATGGAGGGAGAGATTGATAACAGAAGCTTTGTTTATCGAATCAACTGAGAGAGAATACGTGTAATAGGAATGATTCAACACCTATCCTCCCAGATATCTGGAAAATTCTACTACCCCTAAGACGACAAATAGGAGAAAACTATAAAACTCAAGTTTCGAAGTCGTGTGATTATAACTGATGAAATGATTATGAACAATAAGTGAATTGTGTTCAAAACCTTGTCATCCAATAAATAATACTGTCTCACTGACTGTGTGATACATCTAGTAAACAAACTAATAATACAGTGCCCAAGTTTTACACATATATTAATGAGGCTATTTCAGATACTCTGACCAACAATACATTACGTGTAGTTCATATACATAAATGTATATGCTTTCCTATGATTGGTGGCAAGCTACCGGAAGCTTTAGAACTTGTCAGCAAGGCGTATCTGCAATCTTGAAGGAATTCATTTCGCTTCTAAGATTCGAAAGTGTTTTCCCATAGAAATACTAATACAACTAAGTTGGCTAAGCGTATATATGTATATATCAGCATCGACAATTATACACCTCAACCAACAGTTATACGACAATGCTGTGTACCAAATAATCCACAACGGGAAACACGCGGAATCCTTCGAAGTGAAGACGGGAGTAAGACAAGCTGGCTGACTACTGTCTCCAATGATTTTCGTAATTGCGGTGGACTGGATAATGTTACAGACAGCTAGCAACGAGGAGACAGACATAAAATTGACCCACACAGAAGAAGAAACTGGAGGATCTGGACTTTGGTGATGATATCTGTCTGATTTCTCACAAACTGGAAAACATTTAAATGAAAAGCAACAAGTTGGCAGAAGAAGAATAAAAGATATGACTTCCTTCAGGTGAACAAAGGGAAAAGAAAGCTGATGAAGATTCCTGGTGGTGGAGAACAGCAACAACAACAGAAAACAATCAGCATATATGGGAGAAATCTTAAGGAAGCAACCTCCTTCACCTACCTACCTACCAACCTGGGAAGCATCGTTCCAGCCACAGGCGGACGGAACTGATGAGGATATCATCAAAGAGAGGATTGGGAAAGCAAGGCAAGCTTTCATTTCCCTCAAGTCTGTGCGGAGGTCAACGGCACCGCTCAGCACGAAAAATAAGATCCAGATTCTCAGCTCCAATGTGAAGTTAGTGCTACTTACCATATGGATCAGAGACTTGGCGCCGCTTCACGAAGGCCACTTCGAACAAACTGCACACCTTAACCTTTCACCAACCTTCATCGACAGCTTAATACTAATCAAGATCAGATGGCCGGTCAGAAAATATCAGCAGTAGTGTGAGGGATCTCTGGCAATCAGCGGACCAACGCAGCAGGAACCAATTGTGCAACGAATATGCAGGAAGAAATGGAGGTGGATTGGCTATTCTCTGAGGAAACAAACCATCAAGTGAGTGACATCACACACCAGGCCCAGCTCGGATGGAACTCGAATGGGAAGCGGCGAGTTGGTTGTCACTTCGAGGTTGACATCGAGGAGGTCACGAGAAGAGGATACGAAAGCATGTGGGCAAACATGGAGCTAGGTGAAAACGTTGATGAAGAACCGAGTACAATGACGACGTGCGACTGAAGCCCTGTGTTCCTTTAGGAACTAAAGGAAACAATAATAATAAATATCAGCATGCTTATATAACTGATTCATTTACGACAACCATTACCGAAACAAAGCGCAGTTATCACTCTCACATACAGCTTGTTTCTACCAGTTAAATAGTGACAATTAAAAATACATGAATCCATGCAAATTAGTATCTTTTTTATTAATCATTACTTCTATTATTTATTTTTCCCGGGTTTAAATAATGCTGACTTGTTCAAATAATGACGCTTTGTTAAACAGTATTTTCTGAATAAAATTTTCATTGTGATAAAGTCTCACAGTATTGTACGGTAATGTTTACTGATGACCGCGTTTCGAGCATAAATTATCGCTCATAATCATATCAAAGCACTACTCACACAACTTTCTCGCTACACTTATATACATTTATACTCACTCAGAGACAAGATCTGTAGGCTAAACAATCCTGTCGGTGGACCCAATCAAACAAAATAATATTATTTACAAAATACCTTGAAAGCACTGTGAGTAAGGCCAACTACATAGGTCAGTCAAACGAGTAGATCGCGGGTAGTCAGACTGTCGGAACACAAGAATTTAGCTGAGGTTAGAATGACTGACACAACCCACGAAGATTAGTAATTTAGGAAAAGGCACTCCACAATCACACTGCGTGCATCAATACACAACCACACAACAGAGTAGGTAGGACAGAGTCGAAATCCTGGAAAGTAATCTATGTAGGTGGAGTTAGAGAGAGAGAGACAGAGATCGATTACTTACTGAATTCTTGCTCATCGCGTAGTCTACACATCCGACACATGCCATAGAAGTGACTCAACGCAAATACCAGAGATACAGAATATATTATTACCACCAGTCAAATCAGAGGATAATAAATAATCTTAAAATGTATTTTTCAATTCACATACTTTATAACATTCTAACAAGTTATTTATTTATTCTACTATAAAAACATCTTACTTCCCCTCCCAATGTACTTTATCTTATATTACTGATTTTATTTATTCAAATGTCTAATCATCAGTTTAACTCAAGTATATAAATAAAGTAAGAAAGTTGTGTGAGTATTGCGTTGACATGATTATGAGTGGTAATTCATTGTGCTGTCAACGTGGTCGCATCTGTAAATATTACTGTGTGTGATTTTATCAAAATAAAATTTTATCCATAATTGAGTTGCACTCTACTTGAGTGCCCAAGTTGTATCCTTAAATCAATCAATGACTGAGTTTCAACATGGAAATTAGCACAGAAGTAGAGCAGTTTAAGTTGCCACACTCAATTTTGCACACTAACATAAACAAAACAGAGAAAACGCAAGCAGATTCTAAAGGACTATATTCTGCTGAAATTTCGGAAAGAAAGAATAGTGACATAGAAAGACATGAGAGTGTAGTGGATATGAGCCATCACGAAGAGTGAATTTATCTGCGCTGCTGAGAATTATTTTCAGCCCAGCCATTGGTTCTTAGCATTCTGAGGACCTTAACTAGGTAGTCTACTCTACACCTCCCTCAGCTGTAAACGATTACATGGATTGATCCCAGTTTTTGGTTTGACCTTCGCTTTCAAGGGACAAAAGATAGTAACATGGAACAGCATGAAGGGTTAGGCTACCTACCAGTAATCAATGTTGTCTATGTTAATTGGTGGATGGTGACTGGTAGTGTAATCCAGGATGCACGTCTCGTCCTATTCGGGACTCATCAGCTCGATGTACCTGCATTCCGCAGTGAGTGGTGATTTTCCCACCGAGGCTTGAACTCAGTGTCCATGGTTTCAAACGTCAAAGCGCTATCCACCAGACCACTTGCTCCACAAGAAAGCCACTTCCTGTGCAACGGGTCATATTGATTATTTAATTTAATTTTAGATGTTCCCGTCGATTGATTGGACCGAAGTGCTCAGTCTCAGGTTGACATGTTGACTTCTTGTGCAGATGCTTCGACGATGTCTGGGAGTGTAATTAGAAGTTAACTGGTGGATGGTGACTAGCAGTGGAATCCAGGATGCGCATTTCGCCCTATTCAGGACTCGTCAGCTGGATGTACCTGCATTCCGCACTTTGGTCCAATCAGTCGAGGGAACATCTAAAATTGAATTAAATGTTGTCTGCGGTTTGATTTGGAACATTCGCTAGAGTGGAAAGTTGCATTTGGGATTCAAACCGAGGTATGTATGTTGTATGTTGTATGTGCTGTCAGTGACTTACTACAGTTTTTCATAAGTCCGCTTGTTGTGTTTGTCTAAACATCATCAAATTGCTTGCTAATATTGGACAATGTACTTAAATGAAGGAAATATACTAAAGGGTGAGTTTGGTTACCAATAACAAAACTTATCATTGTGTGTAAACTATTGAAATAAAATTATAGTTTATTTGATCTAATCCACAATGATCAATTACAATTAGATGGGAAATAAGACGAGTGTTCTTATAGTTATAATAAGTAATCTGTTAGAATGTTGTGATTTGCTTGAATTGAAATAGAATTTTGAGATTATTTATTATCCCCTTCTGATTTGATTGGTGGTAATAATTATATCTTCCATATTTCTGGTATTTGCATTGAGTCATTTCTGTTGCATGTGTTGGGTGTAGATTCAATGAACCAGGATTCAGTAATCAACTTCTCTCTCCACCTACATAGATTACTTCTTAGAATCTTAACCCTCTCCCACCCTATTGTATGGTTGTTTATTATTGATTTTTATTCAAATATCTAGTCAATTCGATACATATATATATAAATGAAGGAAAACGTTATGTGAGTAACTTGATATGATTATGAGCAGCAATAGTTTTTGCTCGAAACGTCATCAGTTAATATTACTGTGTAACACTGTGTGATTTATCAAAATAAAATCTTATCCATAACGGAGTTACACTCTACCACAGTGCCCAAGTTTTATACTTATATCAATAAGAGAACTTGGTTTATATTATTAGCAGATGTAATGCACTGTGGTTCAGTTTATATATATAGTTCGAAATATTACTTTTATATCAGTCACCAGATAATGCTATTCCGTTTTTTTATTCACAGATCCCAGTGGAGCGTATTATCGACTTCTCACAGAAGGTAAATATGTGATTACTACTCTAGCCAGAGGATTTCTGCCTGCTGTTGCATGTGTTCAAATAACCCATGTACCATCGTTGAAGCAACCAATTTTTAAAGCTAAAGAAATCAACTTCCTACTGTTACCAAAATATCCCGAAAGATTTCAAGATACAACAAACAATGCAGACATTCCACTGATTCCATTGAAAGATTTTCGTCTCAGTGGACATTTACACGATGTAGAATGCTTAAAAGACTACGGTGAACAATTCAGTGTAAGTTGAGAGAAAATAAGTTCATAAATATATGGAGAAAAAACTTTTTATTGCAACCAGATGATCTACTTAGCTTAATTGCTTAAACATGAAGTTTTTTTTCCTTCACGTTCCCCAGTGGGGCTCCAAGCTAGTGGCTTGAAGTTTCTATAGCAGTGTTTTACTTTTACAGGATGGGGTTGCTAGCCTCATGCCCAACCCTTCCTCTTTTACCAGCATTATTTCTGGCTCAGCGAGGTAAAGGAGTGTGTCAGCCGGGGATCGAACCCCGGATCATGTGCATTGTCGGCAAGCGTCCTAACCATATACCACCGACGCTTAACTATGAAGTGGTTAAAAGAAACTAAAGCAACCTCTCAGATATAAAATATTTTGGTAATATACATACGTATCTGTCCCAATGGTGTTTTCTATTCAAACAGTTTAGAAGCGTCTGAGAAACTCATATTTATAATCGATTAAATTAAGTGGCATACTATCGAAGTGTACACTCTTCGATAAATACAAAGAGATTTTATCATTGTTATTACTATTATCATTATTATTGCTACTGTTCTGCTGTGTCGGTGGTGCAGCGTCCGAATACTAGCCAACCGCTCTTTTGTGATCTGAGTCTTGATTCCCAGTCGACGTCTTCCCAAAAGCCTTGCTTAACCAGCAGTAACCTCGGCAAAGAGGGAAGTTTGGCTTTAAGACTGGTAATTCCACCTTGTAAAAACAACCACTGCTTCTGTAGCTTCAAAACTCAAGCTTGAAGCCCTATGTTCTACTCGGAACGTTCTGTTGGCTCCGTTACACATTATTATTACTGTTCCCTTGGGTTCCTAGTGGAACATAGGGCTTCAATTACACGTCTCCATTTCCTTCTGTCTTCTGCCGTACTTTTCACCTGCATCCATGTTAGTCCATACTGTTTCAGCTCTTCTTCACACGATCTCCTGCATGTCACCCACCCTTGGACGTCCTACTTGCCGCTTCCCTTTCGGGTTCCACTCGAGCATTGGCCTGACGTGCGATGTCACCCAGCGGCCTCCTCAGCGAATGAGTGTTCAATCCATCTCCACTTTCTCCTGCATATTTGTTAGGCGATTGGTTCTTGTTTTGTTTGTTCCCATAGCTTCTTGTTGGTGATTCTTTCCGGCCATCTAATCTTCAGTATAGAGCGAAGACAGTTGTTGATAAAGGTGTGCAACAGGCTGTTGGAAATATTCTTTGTGACCCACTGGCCAAGTTTCTGATCCGTATAGAAGAACTGACTGACTCGACGTTTGTATTGAAAATCCGAATCACTTTGTTGTTGATGCTGGCTGAGTGACGAAGATTTCCAGATTGGTTTCAGGTTGATGAATGTGTTTCTCGCCCTCCCGATTCTCGATTTGACATCCTCGTTCGTTCCTCCTGTAGTTGAGACAATGCTCCCTAGATAAGTGAAAGAAGTAACCTCTTTCAAATCTCTCCCGTTGATGGTGATTGGCGCTGGATGTTGCTGCTGCTGTTGTTGTTGGTTGGTTACTTTCATAACCTCCGTCTTCTCTATGTTCACCTGCAGTCCTGTCTTCTCTGGCTGCTGCTTCGACCAGTTTGTCGGTTTTTGCTTGTAGGTCTTCGATTTTGTGTGTCATCAAACATAAATCATCCACGCTCGAAATCCAGGTCTTCTAGGTTCTTCACGTCGGTCCAGGATATCCCTGTCTTCTCGTTTCCCACTGTCTGACGCATAATCCAGTCCACCACAATTAGGAATATCATCGGTGATAATAAGCACCCTTGTCTGACTTCTGTGTTTACTCCGAACGCCTCGCTGAGTTTTCCGTTGTGGATCACTTGACATGTGCCATTGTCGTGCAGCCGTTACACATTGCCTGTCTTATTTTATCATATTCAAAAGAGTATCACGATATCTGCTACTTAAAAAATATTTCCATATTGGTCGACAAAAGAAATAATGAATAATACTGTTGCCCGTTAGGTTTTCTTACCGAAGTTTTAGGCAAACGAAGAATTCGTGTACTGGAATAGAATGTCACTCGATATTTATGGGCTATTGAATCCCGTTCCAGTAGCTGAATTGTCAAAGAGCTCGCCTCATAACCTGGGTTCGATGCCCAGTATGTTCGCGGACGTGGACTGTTGGAAAGTCTCAATACTTGCAATTTGGAATAAGCGTGTCACTCCAAATAAATTCATATAAAAAGACTTCGTGATCCTTTTCTCTAACTCTATTGGCTTTTATCGTGGAATGACTGTCTTTCCTTACTGCCGATTACTCCGTGCACAGTAACAGCGAAAATTCTTCTCAGATTATCTATTTTCATGGAGTTCATCATTTTAAATTTAGCAGAATTTCTGAATAGTGATTATTCAACTGACCTGTTTGCGCAGACTGAATTCTGTCAGGCAGGTTTGCAATGTGGCCACGATTCTAGGTAGCTCGCCATCACGGTACCCATTTATTCGATGATATTAGATGGTTGGAGGCAATCAGAAGGAAGCCCAGCCTGACCTAGGTTTCGTGCTAGTTGGCACTCACCAGTGAGTCAGCAAGGCGAATCTGCAACCTTGAAGGAACTCATGTCCTTTCTGAGATTCGAAACCCTACCACCCAGAGACGCTACCACTGAGCTATTTGTCTCTAACTGCAGCACTGAGTGGTAGGGGTTCGAATCTCAGAAGGGACATGAGTTCCTCCAAGTTTGCTGACTGACGGGTGCCAACAAGCACGAAACCTAGGTCAGGCTGGGCTTCCTTCCGATTACCACCAACTATCTAATATCTTGATCAGTTATTCTAAACTATATAGCCACATGAAGTCAATGGTATACTCTGGCGAAATGCTACCTTAATCCTATGTAGGGTTATTATTATTACTTATTACTGTTTCCTTTAATTCCTAGAGGAACATAGGGCTTCAGCCGTGCATCTCCATTGCGTTCGGTTCTCCGCTAGAGTCTTCACCTGGCTCCAAGTCTGCCCACATGCTTTCATCTCCTCTCCACATGACCTCCTCCAAGTCACCCTCACACTGATGACCAACTCGCCGCTTCCAATACAATCGGGTTCCACTCGAGCAATGGCTTGTCTAGTGATGTCACTTGATGGTTTCCTCCGAGTATGGTCAATCCATCTCCATTTCTTCCTGCCTATTTGTTTCACAATTGGTTCCTGGTTGGTTCGCTCATTGCCAGAGATCTCTGTTGCTGATCTTTTCTGGTCATCTGATCTCGAGTATTGAGCGAAGACAACTGTTTAGTGAAGGACTGTAGTTTGTTTGAGATGCTCTTTATGACGCGCAGTGCAAGTCTCTGATCCGTATAGTAGCACTGACTGACTTCACATTGGAGTTGAAAACCCGGATCTCAGTTTTCATGCTGAGTGCTGTTGACCTCCACACAGACTTGAGAGTAGTGAAAGCTTGTCTTGCTTTCCCGATTCTTGCTTTGATATCCTCATCAGTTCCGCCTGTAGTTGAAACTATGTAGGGTTACTAAAACGTTAATGATTTCTAATGAAATAAAAGGATGAAATCCCATCGACTTTAGTCCTACAAAAATGAAAAAGAATTTGCCTGCTACTTATTCTCAGTAAGGAAGACTCATTATTTTCCTGTTGATTGTTGAACAATGTAGATATGTGAGATGAAATTAATTTGCTTAACCTTTTCACAACAGATCTCATCAAAATCTTGGTAACAGCAATACTGACATCCCGGAAACAAAAACAATGAATAAGACTGAAAATTGCTCGAATATGCGATTGGATTAGTGTCACCAGTCTTCGTATGACTGATGTTACACTGTAACAACAGATCTTTGACAATAAACTGGAAAGGAGGTGTCACTTCCACTAATCAGCTTGATGCAACATTCATAAAGTTTGGTGGAACTTAAATATGATTACTGTCTCGAATGAATAAACTGTATGAGCCCATTGATGGGAATTACAGTTACTATACATAGTTTAGGTTTCTGTCCACGTATAGCTAGAGCTTCTGCACGTTAAAGAGGTCGATCTACTGAAAGCCAACACTTATAGGTCAGTACACTAACCTCAGCCGTTGGGTACCTCTCAGTAGGAAGAGAAATCTTATCAATTCTCTATGCTCCAGAATTCAGAAAATTTACTCTGTAGATACGATCGACTTAGAATTACAAAGGCTTTGTAAAAATCTCTTAAATAATGGATATCCTAAAAGGTTTATCGACAGAAACATCAAGGAAGAAACCATTCTTAGCTAGACCACAGTTCCGGAGAAGACACTCTCTGTGAGTTTGGCTTTCAAAGTGACACTATTTCTGAAGTAATTAAAAGTCTTTTTTTCTAAATGTATTAAACGGTGCTTTTAAGCAACTGACTTATGCGTGTTGGTATGGCCCGATGCGACAGCTTGTCTTTCACGTGCTGGTTGAATAGATTTTTTCGCAGGAAAATGCCACTCGTAGACTGGCGGTGAATTATGTTTTACTGAGACATTTTGAAAGTCGTATACGGAGAAGTTCTGCTTCAGTATGACTTTTAAATTCCAGATTAAGCATCAGCACCATGCTGGAGGAGACATGAACCTTTTCAGGTGTTTTCTTCGGTTTTAGATTCTTGTCTATGAATCTGTATGAGAAACCATTTTCTATCAACGTCCTTCAGAGATTTCGCAATTCTTTGTCAATTGATTCCTCAGTGTATATCTTCCGAATCTTCGAGGAAGGAGAGTATATGAAGCTTCTCTTTCTTCTTAGAAGAACACAAATTTGAAAGGTGTTAAACTGTACCTTGCGTGTGGGTTTTTTGTAGATGGATCTTCTTAGTGAGTCATCAGCATTTTTTCACAGTTGAATATTGAGGAAATTAAACATTGAGTCGGATTCAACTTCGAGAGTGAAGTCAGTGTTTTGATAAGCATTATTGAATGTCTGGATTAGGTTTCTGAGATCCATACTCCCACCACAAATAATGAAAGTATCATCAATGTATCTCTTCTAGAGATGCAGCTCGTTGATAATTGATGA